CACACACACACACACACACACACACACACACACGGATCCCAAATGGGTACAGGTTCATGTCCCGGCAACCCTACTTCTCGTCAAGCTCCCTGCTTGTGGTCTGGGAAAGAAGCAGTCGAGGACAGCCCAAAGTTTGGGACCCTGCACCCACATGGGAGACCCAGAAGAAGCACTTGGCTCTGGAGTCAGGATCCACAACCAGGAATGCATCCTGGTACTCCAGTGAGGCATGAGTGTCTTCTCCACAAGGCTAAACACCTGCTCCTAACAGTTTTGTCTGTATTGCTCAAACATGCACAACTTACATCTTCTCCATCAAAAGATATTCTTGGCCAATATCTCTTTTCTCAACACAACACTTTAAGCAAAATGACACGCAGGGACTCGGCGCTTTTGTTTCACCTCCGATAAGATCACAAACTTCAAAAATCAAAACACAGTATCTCAAGTGTCACAAACGGAGATGCAGTCGCTGCACCCAGAGCAAACTACTGGCATTCTTCAAGTGTTGTCTTAGCATTTTACATTGAACAGAAATGCTTTGATCTACATATGGCTATCTTCCTGGGTTTCATTATGCATCCAGAAGCCATTCAGGGTTTTGCATTGCTTTGCAATGGGTCATTATTAAAATCCTACCACAAGCACCCATACACACAAAACAAAGAGGCATGCATGTGTTTTCATGCAGTGTCTGATTTCAGCAATGGGTCACTGTGGCTAAGCAGGACACCCTCACGTGTGAGATACTCAGAAGAATGGCTGGCGCAGCAAAGGCTCCGTGTCCACCAGCTATTACAATAGCAACAGTGGTTAGTCATTGTAAAACATGACGGGCCAGAAAACAAGCCCAGGTTACCAAGAGGTGAGTGAGGGAAGCCACTTGGCCCTCTTTCCTTGGTTGTCTGGAACTGCCCTGGAGAAGGTGATGGGCTAATTATTAGGTTGTAGGAAGTGGTTTGGAATAATTTGATTGCAGGATAAATTTTACAATTGAGAAGCCTAATGAAAGGGTATTAACTTTTCTTAATCAGCCAGGAAGAGAGCCTCAGGCATGGTCCCCCTTATCCTGGGTCTCCTAATTACCCTGGTGTCCCACCCACCCAACCTCAATCAGGTATTCTCTCCAGCGGTAAACACAGCTCTCCCTAGCTCACGTCACCCCCTCTCCCGGCGCCCCCACCACACGCACCCAGGTCAGCGTTACTGAGTATACAGGCAGGTGGGCCCTAAGTCAGAAGCTAAGGGATGGAGTTCACTTTTCTCTCTCTCTCTCTCTCTCTCTCTTTTTTTTAAAGATTTATTTTTATTGGAAAGGCAGATATACAGAGAGGAGGAGAGACAGAGAGGAAGATCTTCTGTCCGAGGATTCACTCTCCAAGTGAGCGCAATGGCCGATGCTATGCCAATCCGAAGCCAGGAACCAGGAACTTCTGGGTATCCCACATGGGTGCAGGGTCCCAAGGCTTTGGGCCGTCCTCGACTGCTTTCCCAGGCCACAAGCAGGGAGCTGGATGGGAAGTGGAGCTACCAGGATTAGAACCGGCACCCATATGGGATCTTGGCACGTTCAAGGCAAGGACTTTAGCCGCCAGGCCACACCGCCAGGCACTGGAGTTCACTTTTCTCCTGACAAAAACCAGCGAGGGTGCTCGCTTCGGCGGCACATATACTAACACCCAGCAAGGGTGGCTATCAGGCAGTTCCTACTGATCCTGTCTGTTGACTTACAGGGTGGAACAGGGTCTCTCCACAGCTGCTGGTGAAACAATGACCACGGGAGCCCGGATGGTGAGTGGAACGCACATCAGGATGACAGTGTCCGCTCTGCACAGGCCACAGGGAAATGATACTTCCAAAGCCCAAGGCTCCTGGCTCTCATGCACACCAGAAAACCTGTCCGGAATCTAAACCTGACCAAACACAGGCAGGAAGGCTCCAAGCATCACAGCCACGAGATTGAGACGCAACAAGCCCACTTTATAACCTTGACAGCAGGACAGCCCAGTCCCATGTCATGGCATCACCTGTGGCGGTCACTTTGCTGTCCTCAAGGTGGGAACCTCAGTCACAGGTCCCCATGTCTGGAGTCTTATCCCTCAGTGTCTTTGCCCCTAGAAAAATGGATATAAGCTGTCCCTCACTGTTGGATGTGTTCTATCAGAAACAGGACAAACGAGAAGCAAGCTAAATTCCCAACAACAAGGGACGAATTAAAGCCAGACAATGGGATGAGGTCATTATTGGTTTACACACTCACACACACACACAGGCTGGGCACCAGGAGGAGCAAAGGTGGATTGTTCATGGATTTCTTTTCCCTATTTTGGCGAGGTGTACCACTGGTGCTTCTAAGAACTCCATGTGACATAAAACATTTTCAGAGTAGTTTTCAACTTCTTCCCCACACTGTGAGCCAGAGGTTAGAGGTGGGGTACTGTGTCACAAACAGGCAGCCTTGGAGGTGAGCCCTGAGCTGACGGGGCAGACTCCCTGGGGCAACTGTGCTGACTCAGGGGTGGTGTTAGCCTGCCGGTGTGTGGAGGAGGAAGTGGGGCCCACCAGTCCTGCTGCTTACACACCCCTAAGCACAGCCTACAGATCCTCATTCCACACGAACAAAGGATGGGCACACACAGCGGGGTGAGCAGAAAACACAGTGGCAGCAAGAATGGGTCTCTGACCTGGACTGTGGGGTCACAGTGGTTCTGGGAAAGCAAAGGCAAACCAAGTTGAGATTTATTTTCCTTTCTCTTTAAGATTCATCTATTTAAATGGCAGTTATACAGAGAAAGAAAGAGATCCTCCATTCACTGGTTCACTCCCCAAACAGCCACAATGGCCAGGGCTAGGCAAGGAGTCTAGGTCTCTCCCACATGGGCCATCTTCCACTGCTTCCCCAGGCACATGAGCAGGGACCTGGATCAGGAGCAGCTGGGTTTCAAACCGGTGCTCTGGAGGAATGCCAGTGTCACAGGTGGTGATTTAACATACCAGCACCACAGTGCCGGTCCCCAAGCTGAGGCTTTTTAAGAAGGCTGCGGTTCCAACCTCATCAGTGTTACACCCTGGAAATGGGAAGTCTGTGGGAATACCGAAGTTGCACCAACACACACTACCACGTGAACTGTAAAACTCTCGGGCTCTGCAGTGACCCCAAGTTCAGAGATGGATTAAAGTGCTCTGGTTCTCTCCAGCCTCTGGTGACAGACTCCAACAACTTTTCAAAGATCTTCCTGGGGCATATCCACCCTCATCCCCGAGAGTCAAGGCCCACCTGCTGGCCCCAGCTCCAATCCCAGAGCCTGTGTGTAGGGTCCAGGTGTGGCCACACAGACGGGGCCAGCTCCTGAGGCCACAGGGAGAATTCCAGAAAGTGAAATGGGAAAGGTATGGGCCTCCTGGTATTTTACATGACACTGTGAGACAGGGCAGCCAGGCAACAACTTCCTGGCAGGAAGGGACTCCATTGGGCCAAATGGGACCCCCAAACGGTGGCCAAAACTGAGAGGCAGGGAGTGGAAGCCTGGTGTGGTCCGGCTGTCACTCGTCACTGTGGGATACTTTGATTTCTATCACATTCTTACTGGAGAACTTTCCAGAGCACTCACCTGCCCTGGAAACATGGCCCACAACCCAGGGAGTATGCCACTGCCCCAGAGCGGCCAGCACTCGTTTTTCTCACCCACAAGTTTATACAATCACTTTCTATTTGTAGCCCGGTCTTTTTATTTTCTGGGTGGGCATTTCAGAAATTTCAGTCCTAAGACATTATAGTAAATAAACATGCATACGAAGGCTTTAAAGCTAGAGGACCTTCCTTGTGGTTTGACTCCAGCACAGGTTCATGTCCTGGCTCCTCCATTTCCGATTCAGCTCCCTGCTAACGCACCTGAGAAAGCAGCAGAGGATGGCCCAAGGCCTAGTTCCCCTGCACCCATATGGGAAACTTGGAAGAAGCTCCCGGCTTTGACCTATATAGAGGCCATTGCAATCATTTGGGGAGTGAACCAGCAGATGGAAGATCCCTCTGTCTCTCCTACTCTTTCTGTAACTCTCTTTCAAGTAAACAAAAAAGAAATCCTATTAAAACACACACACAGAAGGAAAGAAAGGAAGTTGACTTGTGTTGCATTCCTAAGATTTGCTATCACCAGAACATCAAAATTAAACTTGACCCGTCTGTGTTTAGCTGTTGGGTAACTTACCAACCAGGGAAACACAAACGCCCCCTTAGGCCTTTAGGCATAACCAAGGCCCAAGATTCCTGGGTAATTCTGAAAACACAAAACCGGGCTAATCTTGGCAGAGGCCTGCTCTGAAGCTCCTATGTGACCAATCGGGTTATTCACTGCGACCAAACTTCTCCAGAACCCCACTACTCCCAAGAACACGCAGGTGCAGGAACAGGGACAAAGCGGCCCTTCCCCCAGCCGGAACAACTGAAACCCTCACCCGGGAACCACCAGGCCCCGCGGCCAAAGTCCACCCAGCCGAGGAGCCAGGGCGGAGGGACGCCGGGCGCTTGCATTCGGAATTAACTGCCCTCCTTCCCAGACTTTCGGAAAGGGAAGTGGGCCCTGTGGACCGAGAAAGAGGTGACGTGGGACACCGGGACCTCAAACCACAGGTGTGAGGAAGTGGAAGGTGGGTCTGGAGAGAGACACGCGTTTTCCACACGTGTTCCCTCACCGCCCGGGTGCTCCCAGGAATCTAGAAACAAAGCTAAAGCCCCGGCACTCCCGAGCGGGAGGCGAATGTGGCGGCCACATCCCGGGGTTCGGTTTACGCGCACCCATTTTCCCTCCTTCCCTGGTCCCCGAGATCCCGACTCTGGGACACCACTCCCAACCCCGACACGTGCGGCGGCTTCCGCCCCAGCCGAATCCAAGAGGGCCAGACGACCGCTCCCGACACCACCGTGGGAGCTCTCGGCACGGCGGGCTGCCGGACCCTCCTCCCCGCACTCCTTGAAACCCGCACCGGGGCATCGCACTCACCTGCGCCGCGCGGCAGCCGCGCCGCTCCCAGGAGCAGGACGCCCAGCAGTCCGACGGTGGCCCCCACGTTCAGACCGGCCATGGCTCCAGGGCGCCTCGGCCTCGGTGGGGAAAAGCGTCGTGGCGCGTGGCTCGGGGAGCCCGAGCCCTGGCGCCGGCTGCGCTCGGCCGGGACTCACCTGCGCGCGGGTGACGGCGCCCGGGCTCCGCCCTGCGCAGCCGGAGCGCGGCACGACCTGGTCCTTCCCTCCTCTCTACTCCTCCCCTTCCTATACTTCAGCGACCGCCTCTCCCGCCGCTTCCCTGGGAGCCCGACGTCCTCTGTGACTGGCCGCCCTCCCCTGTGCTCTGCGGTTCTAGGATTGGCTTGTGCCCACTTTCCTAGGCTTCAGCCAAAGGCACCCTTGGGAAAGACCACCCGCCTTCCATTGTGTGTCTAGGAGACGAGACCACTGTGCTCCCCTCTGAAGCAAAGATTCTCATTTGTGGGTCACCCAAGCCCTAGCTTCTCCTGGTGTGGCTGCTCCTCTCCCCCCATATGCGGCTCCTGGAGCTTCACCTGCAGGACTTGGCGCGCCACAACCCACAGACCTACAGTGTTACGCAACCTGGCCCGAGTCGCCAGTCCAGTTAGTTAAGGAGAGGCAGGATCTGACAGCGCAGGGTGGGTTTTTCATAGAGTTGCTTTGTTACATGAAGAATGAATGAACAGGTATGTGAGGGTGTAGAGAGAAGAGCCCTAAATAGGCTCTCACTCGGGGCCCCTTCATTGTTGTGAGTGGAGTAGTGTATGCCCCCTCTGTAGTGAGTGGGCTGCAGGTGCTGTGTGGGAGTGGAGCACCTGAATGGAATGCTGGCCTCCTGCCCGTGGCTTCTCTTTGCAGCTGAAAGGCTACAGGATCACAGAGCCACAGGGGCAGCTAACCATGCTTCTGCCAGAAAATTACTGCATAGTGCCCTGAGGCTGCCTGTGGCCAGGGGCAGCTGGAGGCAAGGGCACCTGGAAGGCCTGGGATGCATTCCCAACCTCATGCAACACATCAGTCTACAGTGCAGCCCAGCTCCTGTTTCATTTGGAGGGGGGTGAGGGAGAACTGAACCCCATCCTGAGGCAAGCTTGGGAAAGATTTTTGGGTTTTGTGCAGGGTGGGAGGGGGAGCAGAACCCAGAGTCACTGCAGAAAGGAAGGTGACCTCAGTGAGAGGAAGCTGGTCAACAAATACAAACGTAGACTCTGCCTGTGAGTAGCATGCCTGTGAGGGAATCTTTGGGGCTGCATTACCAAGCCAGGATGGGATGAGCACAGAGTGCACACAGCTGTGAGATGCGTTACTGTCCTCAGGGTACACACAGCCCAGCCTCAGACTCAGACTGCTGTGCTTCGGTTAACCTGCTGTGTCAGGTTAAGCCTGACAGATATAAAGGAGCCACCTGGAACATCTCAACTCTGCTACTTCTCCTCTCCCAAGGGGCTCTGCTCCAGAGCCTAGGCACCGGGGCGCTTCGGTGGATAAGCTGCAGGGGGCTCCTGGGTCAAGTCCTTGCCTGAGTTGGGTGGTGCCAGCTACAGTGATAGGCCAAGGTCATCTGGAAGGACAGGGTCAAGACCAGCGGCCAGGACAATCCAGGATCTCAGCACCAGCCCCTAGCAATCGATGTCTCAGCTGCAGGTCACCCGAGGACCTAGCAAGCATTTGGGAAAATGGCTTTACTTCTTGTTGCTCCACATGTGCCATTTTCAGCTGACCTCTAAAGGGAACAAAATTCCTACCCATGTGTGAAGATAGAGCATTTTCTGGGGGAACCAGAGGAAGGGGATATGTGGTAATGTTTCATCTAACTTTATCTAGTCCCATGAATATTTGGTTTTTATTTTATTTTTAAAGCTTTTTAAATGTGTGTTTTTATTTGTTTGAAATACAAAGAGAAAGGTCTCCTATCCACTGTTGCACTCCCCCCAGATGATGACAACAGCCAGGGCTGGGTCAGATTGGTGCCAGGAGCCAGAAACTCCAGTGGGGTTTCTCCTATGGGTCACGGGGACCCACGTACTTGGGCCATCACCTGCCCCCTCCAGGGTGTGCCTTAGCAGAAAGCTGCACTGGAACGCAGAGGTGGGATTCAAATTCAGGCACTCTTATAAGAATATGAGCATCCGTAATAGTGGGTTAACTTGCTCTGCCACAGTGCCAGCCCCTCTGTTGTATGTTTATAAAAGGGATAACATGCTACTGCCTTGTTTTGCCCCCAGGGTTTGTGTTTTGTTGTTACTGTTTTGTTTTCTGGCATACTGAGCTTGTTGATGAACTTTCCAGGTCTGTATGCAGGAGCCAGCATCACTGGGTTTAAGGAGGCGTGTGTGGAAGACCGTGTGTGGAAGACCGTGTGTGTGTGTGTGTGTGTGTGTGTGTGTGTGTGTGCTTAGCTATGTGTGCCCAGCTGGTTCAGGCCCGCAGAATACACAACTATAGGAGTCAGGGTGGGGCAGAAAGCAGGTGACTGACAGGAGGCCATTGACCCTGACAAGCAGGTGACTGAGAAGAGGCCATTGAACCTGACATTAAACGAAAGCGCTGTTCACAGAAGTGTGGAGAGAGGAAAAGGAGGCAGCCAGGAGGGAGTCTGCAGCACCCGGGGCCAGCATGATGCAGGTGGACAGCTCCTTGGGCCAAGTCCTCAAGGCCCCAGTGCTTGTCTGAGGTCACACCACAGGCCTCAGAGTCACTGGAGAACTAAGGTGCCAAACTGGTATTCCTTAAATTTGCGTTGAGGGTAAAAACTTGAAACAGCACAGAGCAGTCTTGGTGATTTAAACTCCATTTGTTAAGTCCATGGCAGTTTCTAAATTAGTCTTTTCCTCAATCAAGCCCAATTAGGCAACTCTTGTTTTACGAGTTTGCATAATTTCCCTATTTACCCAACTCGCAAATTGCACTTTAAGTCATAATTTGGAAGTCTATGCACTGTGATTCTTTTTTAAAAGCAAAAATCTGGAATCAGTCTAAGTGTCCCTTAATAGGATAATGGGTAAGTAATGAGAACATAACTACCTAATAGAAAATTATGTATTTCTTAGATTTGATATCTATACAGTTTAACGTAAAAAAAAATGTTTAGCTGTTATGTTCAGGGAAAATTATACTCACTGGTTTACTTACAGTAGCATCTCAATTATTTTAATTCATTCATGCACTAAAACAGACTAAAAAAAATCCCCAAAACCTTTGGAAAACTTTAAAATGTGTGCATTTTTTCCCACCACATGTATTCATCATGAGCTTTCTCAAGATCTTCCAGATGTGCAGATTGCACATTTTTTTTGATACCAAAATAGACTTCATTCCGGGAAACTTGCCGAACTACAGTTGTGTACTCGCAACTTCCAACTTAGTGACAGCATCATGACTTAGTCATTCCTCTTAGTGTCTTGTCCTGAGGAAATCATTTTGCTTTGAAAAAAGAAACACTGGCAGGCAAGATGTTAACTGCAGAGAAAACCTGGAAATCACCGAAATGCCCAAGAGCATAGTAATGATTTAATAATTGTGGTTCAGCTGCTTGGGCCATGGTGTATGCATTAAGAAAGAAAACTGCAGGGGTTGGCACTGTGGCACAGCAAGTTGAGCTGCCACTTGAGATGAGAGCAGCCAGCTTGAGCCAAGTCCCTGCTGCTCAGTTTCTCATCCAGCTCCCTGCTACTGTTCCTGGAAAAGCAGCAGAAGACGGCCCAAGTGTTTGGGCTCCTGCCACCATGGTCAGAGACCCTGAGGGAGTTCAGAGTTCTTGGCTCCAGTCTGGCCCAGTTGGGGCCATTTGGGGGAATGAGCCAGCAAATGGGAGATCTCTCCCTTTCTGTGTTTCTCTGCATTTCAAATACATTAAATAAATCATAAAAGGGAGAGAGACAGAGAGAAGGAGGGGCCTGGTACAATGGCTCAGTAGCTAAATGCTTGCCTTGCATGTGCTGAGATCTCGTATGGGCACCAGTTCACGTCCTGGCTGCTCCACTTCTCATCTAATTCCCTGCTTATGGCCTGGGAAAGCAATTGAGGACGGCCCAACTCCTTCTTTCTGTAAACCCACTTTTGTAATACAAATAAATAAAATTTAAAAAGAAGAGAGAAGGAAAGTAAACAATTACCCAAAAGAAGTACTGTAGCATTAAATGAAACGTTGAACATTGGCAATTAGAGAGGAGGCATAACACTAACGGGGCTTTGTTTTTCAAAAGCTGTGGGTTTTGGAAGAAATAGCTGAAGAAGATGTACAGAATGGTTATTGCTGGTAGGGCATGGAGGTGAGATTGTGAGTAATTTTGTTGTTGTTGTCGTTGTAGTAGTAACATTTACCTTGCCATTATCATTTTTTAAAAAGGTGCCTGTTCAATGGGAAAGCTGATTGTAAACCACAGCAAAGCAGGAAGACCAGTGGCAGACAAGCCTTGCCGCTGGCAATAGAACAAGGGGGAAAAGGCTCACACATGTGTGCTGAGGAAGGCTGACTAACACCAGTGCTGATCACTTAGTGAGTGGGTGAAAAGAAATTGCTGGGCCTTACAGAGGTCGGGTTGGGGAATGGAGTAAGCTATTGCAAAATACACAGTTTAGTGGAAATTGTTCAGTGACCAGCAGCGTACTTCTGGTTTAGCAAACGTGGCAGCTCCTTTAACAATAAAGCATGGGGAGGGGGGAGCTGAGGGCAGTCCTCCCCTCCCCCCCGACCCTGCGGAGCGGGAGATGTGCTATGGAACAGGACACAAGAGACCAGCAGAGACCTAGGGCCAACACTGCCCAGTCTCTGAGGATGTGGGAACTAGGGGCTTGCATCCCAGGCTGCCTCCTGGGGTCTGTGTCCTGTGCTGCCTTTTTGCTCTTGAAATCATTACCCCAGGCCCTCCAGGGTGTGGTTAAAGTGCCTTCATACTGGAGGCCCCCGTTCATGTCCTCACCAAAGCACAGCACAGCACTTATCTGTGTGTCTGGAGCTCAGTGCCACAATTCAGATTTTGTTTTCATCTAAAACAACAGAATAGATGTCTGAGAGCTAAGCAGAATGTTCTAGATCTCATGGTGGGCCACAAGC